AATTCCCAGTAGGGGGCTCGCAGGCTTGAATGAGATTTCCAGTCCTAGTTTTCTAAGAAGTCTCCACAGGGATTTCTATAATGGTTGCACCAGTCTACACTCCCACCAACAGTGGAGAAGGGTTCCCCTTTCCCCACAGCCTCTCCAACATTTGTTGTTTGTTGATTTCTTTATGATAGCCAATCTTTCTGGGGTGAGATGATATCTAAGTGTTGTTTTAATTTGCATTTCACGGATGGCTAGTGATGTGGAGCATTTTTTCATATATTGATTCACTTTTTTAATTTTATTCTCTGAGAAGTGTGTTTTCATCTCATATGCCCATTTCTGGATTGGGTCTTTAAACTTAGGGGCCCTAATGTTCTTTATAAATTCTAGAGAGCCGACCTTTGTCTGAGTGTTTATTAGTTAAGATTTTTTCGAAGTTTGTGGGTTGTCTTTTCACTTAGTTGATAATTTCTTTTGACGTGCAAAAACTTCTCAATAAGAAGTGGTCCCAGTTGTTAATTCTCTCAAGTGTTTCACGTGGGATTTGGTTTCTGTTCATGAACTCTTTGCCTACCCCTATGTCTTCAAGAGATCCTCCTGCTTTCTCTTCTAGGAGATTGAGTGTTTCTGTTTTAATGTTCAGTTCTTTAATTCATTTTGACTTTAGTTTAGTGCATGGTGATAGACCTAGGTCAAGTTTTAATCTTCGGAATGTAGAGAACCAATTTTTCCAGCACCATTTGTTAAAGAGACTATCTTCCAGTATGTTTGGCCCTTTTGTCAAAGATCAGGTGGCTGAGTGCATTCCTAGATGCCTCTGCATCTACTAGTCTATTCCATTGATCCTCAGGTCTATTTTGTTGCCAATAACATGGTGATTTTATTACAGTAGCTTTGTAGTATAATTTCAAGTCAGGAATTGTAATCCCTCCTGCTTTGTCTTGGAACAGGTATTTTTCATTAAGTATTGATATGTTGAACTTTGAGTTCCTACAGAATATGATAAAAAACATTTAAAAAATTAAAATATATTTTAAAAATAGGCATAAAGAATTATATAATTCTTATGCCTACACATAAGTCCAGAAATCTAACCA